TCAGGTTTAAGAACAGGTATTTCAGGGGATTTGTCTGTGCCTGCTTAATGTGTCTTGAGACACGGTGATAGGACATGAGATTCTTCATGGATTTCAGAAAATCAGGAAATGGAGCAGGGTGGGGGCTTTTGGGCTGAGGTCGGGAATAGCAGGTAAAGTCAGAGGACTTTGCAATCTCCAAATGGGTGTGGGGATCCAGCATTTACTCTGTAGCCTTTGTTTGGTGAGGGTGAGCTTGGGTTAGTAGAAGGAGACCAGAAGGGTGGTGGTATGCAGGAGTGCAGAAGTCGACTGTCATTGTGGGCAAGTCATCTACCCTTCCTGGGTCTCACTTTCCTAACCTGTGGTCTGGTGTGATGAAACACAGCCTACCATACTGGGTATTTGGGAAGACTGAATTAAATAACCCAAGTACCTAACACTTCTTTTGCTCAAAAAGGGCTGAACCAGAAACTCTGCATGCTGGGCAAGCTTGATCAGAAATAATCATATTTAAGACCTCAGTATTCAGGAGGTATTATTCTGGTTTATCTCTTTTCTCAATGTATGAGTCCTTTTTTCCCCCCTTTATTTAGTGTTCCAGTAACATCATATAACCCAGATTGTCAGTTTCCTTATGTGTAACATGGGAATAAAAATATCAGCCCTGCTTATCTCAGAGGATACTTGGGAGGGTCAGATACAGTGATGAATATGACCATACTTAAAGCTTCATGGAAATTCAGGAAATGGTAATGGTGATACTATGGTTGATAACTATTTTTTGGCAAAAAGGGCAGCATCTATATTAGGGAAGAAAGGTTGGGGAGCTGCCTCTAGATCTGATCAAAGAACAGCTATATTTTTGTCCACTTTAAAAATCTATGTATCTTCTAATATTAGAATATAAACTTCATCTTAGTGTCTGAACCTTTCAGCTCGGGATTCATTTACCCAAAACTCTAGGCTTATTTAAGTTGGTATAAGTTGGGTGTGGTGAGCCCAGGAGTTGCTATCAAGGTCATACAACGTATATGAAGTGGTTGCTGGATGCTGCTCCAGGCATATAGAAGTTTCGCTCTTTGCACATATCAGAGATCCTCCTAGCTGACCTTGGATTAGGACCAACGGTTGTTTGGGGGCTACTGAGTGCCACACAGGTGCTGTCATTCAGAACTTTGGTTCTGGGCACAGTAGAAGGAGGGAGGTGCAGAGGAAGAGAGAGAGGGAGTAGCAGTGGATGCTGATGGTGCTGTTTTTCTGATGCTTTTGTCTTTAGGGATTTCTGGTCGTGGCCAGGAACCTGTGAGCCCCATAGACTCCTAAGCAAAGGGGACAGCAGGTTATCATGCAAAAAGAGCATCGAATCTACAAATAGAAGACTAGGATTTATGTCCCAGTCTTATCACTTATTGATGACATTATCTTGAGCAAGTCACTTAACGTCTCTGAGCCATTTCCTCATTCATAAAATGGGGGTTGACGGTGTTACATAATAGTAAGAGGTATAAGGAAAGGTTTTGTACACTGTAGAGTCCTTGAGAGGTAACAGTGGATAGTGGTGTTGTTGCTTCATTATTATTCCCATTATGAGCAGGGCATTTTTTTTTTTTCTACAGGTGGAAATGAGGCAGGCTTAGAGTTTGTGTTTTCAGAATTCCCTGGTGAATGGAAATGACTCTCTAAAAGGAGCTGGGTATTAAAAAAAGAAAGAAAGAGAAAAAACGGAAGCTGGGTGTAAATAAAGTCGAACCCTTGAACATGGTGCAAGGATTTCTGGACCAGGTGTTACCGGGGTCTGCTTCTCATCCTTGTCTAGATGCCCGTGCCTTAACCCTGCTTTGGTGAAGATCAGGCCCCTGTCTGCCAGACGGAGTCCTGGGGTTCCATGGCCTTGCTTCAAACCTGGAGCTGGGAATTTGGAAGCTAGAGTGCTTGGGAGGGGTAAAAGGGTGGCAGGGGTTGTGCATAATCACAGGGCCAAGGAGCAACCTGGTTTGATGGCTCTGACTGTGCACATTTGGCTTATTAGCAGTCAGGCTGCTCTAAACTCAGTGCCAGCTCACCCCAGCCACCTAAACACAGGACGCTCTGGCCAGGCCCCCCGGCAGAGTAAGAAAAACTTTGTAGGTATAGAGAGTTTTTTCTTTTTTAACCTTTATACTATGCTCATTAAACCTACTAATCTCTGGGGTGGCCCTGTGCTCACTTTGGGGATGGAGCTAATACTTTAACACTAGCAAAATGAGATGATAGATTGACTCTGACAGTGAAAGCATTTTAACCATCTGTATTAGGAGCCTTAAAAAATGACCATGCCCTTTGAGTAAGTAATTTTACCTCTGGGACCTTAACCCAAGGAAATAATTTGAATTGCGGGAAGAGTCTGTACTAAAAGATGTATAATGCACCTAAAATATCCAGCATTACATGAATGTAAATCTTTTCTAGAATGTAAGCACCATGGGGTAAGGACTTCTTGTTCACTCTGTATCTCCAGCACTTAAAGCAGCCTGGTACACAGATGGCCAATGAACATTTTTTAAATGGTTATAGACAAAAAGAATTTACATCCATAGGATAAAACTCTTACTGGTTTCACCCGCTATCTAGAAGTAGAGCATTCTTTTTTTATTATTATTATGTTATGTTAATCACCATACATTACATCATTAGTTTCTGATGTAGTGTTCCATGATTCATTGTTTGCATATAACACCCAGTGCTCCATGCAGAACGTGCCCTCTTTAATACCCA